TCTCAGGCCTTGTCTTACCTCAATGGGGGTGAAAGGGACACTGCACTTGCTCTGAATCATGCTCAGGAGCCATGACTTGTCATACTTTCTGCCATAAGGAATCTAGAAATGAGAGAAAAAGAAAAGAAGGGAACAATTTGTAACTAAGGCTGAACAGCAGACACAATCCAGCACTCCTTTTTTACCTTCTGCTAAGCTTTAAAAGATTTTCTAAAGAGAGGGCTGGGCACAGTGGCTCATGCCTAAAATCCCACCACTTTAGGAGGCCAAGGTGGGAGGATCACTTCAGGCCAGGAGTTCAAGGTTACAGTGAACTATGATCATGCCACTGTACTCCAACCTGAGCAATAGAGTGAGACTCTGTCTTTAAAAATTAAAAATACATAAATAAAAATTCCAAGATGGGCCGGGCGCGGTGGCTCACGCCTGTAATCCTAGCACTCTGGGAGGCCGAGGCGGGCGGATTGCTTGAGGTCAGGAGTTCGAAACCAGCCTGAGCAAGAGCGAGACCCCGTCTCTACTATAAATAGAAAGAAATTAATTGGCCAACTAATATATATATATATAAAAAATTAGCCGGGCATGGTGGCGCATGCCTGTAGTCCCAGCAACTCGGGAGGCTGAGGCAGAAGGATTGCTTGAGCCCAGGAGTTTGAGGTTGCTGTGAGTTAGCTGATGCCACGGCACTCACTGTAGCCTGGGCAACAAAGCGAGACTCTGTCTCAAAATAAATAAATAAATAAATAAACCTGTTCTTAGGTTTCTCTAAACTATTCTAAGATATTGATTCTTAGGAGAAAAGATGGATACCTGATTGACTGATTTTTGTGGAATAAAATGTAAAGACTTTCACTGAGCCAACTCCCCCCTCCCCCCATACCATCTACCTTCCCAAAGTACTCACTGTAATCTTGAACCAGTTCTTCGAGGTCCCATCCTGGCTGGTGCCAGCCCCTCCTCTCTCTGGAGGAGCTCTGTCTCTCCGCACAGTAACATGAATGCGATCTCGATCATGCCAAGTATCACCTCGACGGTTAGGTCGGGTGGTATAGGGGTTGCTGTGGGGAAGCAGAGAATAAGACAGCCATAAATTCTAGGAAAGTCTTCTCTAGGACCTTCTTGCACTGTCAGTGGGACTACAACTAAGACTGTTCAGCCATTAAGCTGGTCCTGGCATTCCTCACTCTTCCAGGTGGGGAGAGAATTGACATGGACAGTAAGAGAGCCATATAATCTAGTGGGTCACTTACTATCGTACTCGGGGACCATCCTGCGCATCACTCATTGCTACATCTCCATCATCTTCCTCAAGGCGGGAAGACCGAATACCAGAACCACCTCTTCCAGATCGACGGTTCCCCTCACCATATTTCCACCGGAAAGGACCCCGGCCTTTCTTCCTTCTTTGAGGGAAACTAACACGGTCATCATGCTCTGGAGTTGGAAACAGGAACACAAATTAGAATTACGTCACTGGCCCGGGTACTTTGGTGTGGCAGTTTCTAGAACCCTGTACTACTGGAAGAGATACACACTAACAACAAAGGCCAACTCGACGCAGACTCCTCTGCCTGCCCAGAGGAAAGAAACCTCTCTGCGGAATGGCAGCATCAGGGAAAACCTACTGGAAAACTGTGTAGGGTTTTTGAAAAATGAAGCTGAAACTGGAACTACAAAGAGAAGTAAAACGTAGAGGTCTGAGAGACCCAAAAGTGTAACTGGCCACAAATGAGCCATCTAAAAGCCACCTGAAGATCAGCTACTCCAGACTCTGTTTGTCCATACAGTACTAATGCTAGTTACAAATATGACCAATTAAGGGCCTCCCCCCAAAATTTCCTTATTCTCAAACTGCCACTCTAAAAGCTTTGTGAGGAGCTTTTCATTTCCTTGGCTAGAAATGCCTTTTAACTCAGGAGACACTTCTAGACTCAGGCTTTGGTGGCAGCTCCAAGGCCCTGGAATGCTCTCCAGGAATATGTCCTTCTGACTCCTGTTGTGTAGGAATGGCTTTTAAAAGAAGGCCCACAACATTCACAAAAGGTCTGCCTAATGCCTGGTACTCTGCAAACAATGAACTTCAACAAATGCCCTAGGAAAAAAGGAGGCATGCATAGAAGGCCCAGCTAACACAGGCTAAGAACTTTCTCCAGTGCCAGCCACTATGGTTCAAGGCACTCCACAGGAATAATCTCGTTTTAACACACACACACTTGGGAAATAGATACTGTTACTAGCCACGTTAAGGGGGTGTAAGAGTTGGCCTGAGAGTTTAACTCACGATTTAAACCTCAGCTGTCATGAGCTCCTAACCACCTCGATGGACTAACACCCAGTGTAGTGTTCGTAGTAGAACATCCAGCTGGGGTGTACGCCAAAGCCCAGGACGGAGGGGTCAAAACCCACTGGCCACGGTGAAAAATAGGGCACCAGGGCAGCCCACGAGCAGGACACTGACTCTCATTAAGGGAAGAGTCAGGCCTGCCACGCTGAACTGACAGGTTACCACCCACAAAGTTCAAAGGCATCTCGACACCCCATCTCCGAGCCATCTGCTCCAAGCCGCAGGTCCTCCTCCAGGATACCTGAGTCAACAACTCGGGTACCCACCTCGAGTCCGGGCGGTCTCCCGGGGCTGCCTCGCCCCCGGCCCGCCCCGCGCCGCCGCAGCTCCCCGCGGACGCCGGGCCCCTCGCGGCCTCACGCCCAGGGACTGCGGCCTACGCCGGCGCCGCCCACTCAGGCCCCAGATCGCCCGCTCCCGACCCGAGGACCCGCACTGACCGTTGTACGACTTCCCCTCGTCCGCCATGGCACAGCGAAGAGCAGGGGCGGGCTCAGGCGCGAGCCGCGACGCCTCCAAACGTCCGAACGCCCAGGCGCTCAGGATCGAAGCTCTCCTACGCCGGGCGCCACCGCATTTATCCGCGAAGCACGTCGCGCGCAGCTGACGTTCCCAGGCTAGGAGAGCGGCGCGGGGAGGGAGCTCCGCCGCTGCGCGTGCGCACATTTTCGGGAGCCGCGCGGAGGGCGGGGGCCGGCCCTCCACGCCCCGCCCAAGACCTGCGCTCGCGAAGGCGGGGCTCGAGGCCGGATAGTCCCCGCCCCTCCCCAGCCCTCCGCAGAGAACTCGGCAGCTGCAGAGTTAATGCTGGAGCGAAGCGCAGGCTGCGGAAGACTGCAACTGCGTGGGGTAGGGGCCCGCAGGAAGGGCTTCCAAGAATTGGGGATCTGGCCTTGGAGTGGGAGTGATCGCTCACAAACCCCTAGCGGAATCTGGGCAGTGTTTCTCGGCTCAGCTCCTTCCCAGCTGAAGACCTAGGCCCGGCTTTCCTCGGCTGTTAAATGAATTAATAATCACAAAACTGAACTAGTGGGAACAGGAACCTTAATTCATGGCTCTTTTTCTCCAGCGCCTGGCTCAGTATCACACCAGCACACAGTAGAAACTGAATAGGCCAGGCTCGGTAGCTCACACCTGTTAAGCCCAGCACTTTGGGAGGCCCAGGCTGGAGATTTCTGGGTTTTTTTTTTTGAGACAGAGTCTCGCTTTGTTGCCCAGGCTACACTGAGTGGCGTGGCGTTAGCCTAGCTCACAGCAACCTCAAATTCCTGGGCTGAAGCAATCCTCCTGCCTCAGCCTCCCGAGTAGCTGGGACTACAGGCATGCGCCACCATGCTCGGCTCATTTTTTCTATATATATTAGTTGGCCAACTAATTTCTTTCTATTTATAGTAGAGACAGTGTCTCGCTCTTGCTCAGGCTGGTTGCGAACTCCTGACCTCGAGCTATCCGCCCGCCTCGGCCTCCCAGAGTGCTAGAATTACAGGCGTGAGCCACCATGCCCAGCCTCAGGCTGGAGATTTCTTGAAGCCAGGAGTTTGATACCAGCCTGGACAACATAGCAAGACCCCCGCCCCTACAAAAACTAGAAAAATTATCCAGGCATGGTGGCATGACACCTGTAGTCCCAACTACTCTGGAGGCTGAGATGGAAGAACCAGTTGAGCTGGGATTTGAGGTGGCAGTGTTATTGATGATTCCACTGCACTCCATCCCAGGAAACAGAAGCTGTCTCAAAAAACAAAAAGGCAACCCCACAAATATTTGTGAAATAAATTTGTTCTACACATTCCCCCCACAGAGTTGCTGAGTCAAATGAGACAGCAGTCAGGGCTTTGATGAGCACTGTCTTCACAAGCCCCACCCATCACTGGTGTGCCATGCTAGCCCCCCACCCTGTGTCAATGGGGCAGAGAAGCTAGCCAGCAGTGGTAGACCACTCGAAGAGGTGCCAAATAGAGACGAAATTTTAAAATGCAGGAGGCTACAGGCTCTCCCAGATCCCCTAAAATACTAGGACCAGCCCGAGTACAGTGATGATTGTTCTCTCTATAGCTTGAACTTCTTGTGGGATGAGCGACTCAAGTGACCTCAAAATATTGTGGCTGTGTGGTTCTGGTCAGGAAGGGCAAAGCAGCACATTAATCTCCCTGGGGAGAGGGTAATCAAGCCAGGTCTCTCCTCCATTTCTTCGTGACTGGCTTGGATTTGGTGAGGGGCTTGGAGAGAACCAAGTGACTCTGCTGGAACTTGGAAAAAATTCTTCACTCTGCTCCTGGCAGCAGGCAGAACTCCTGCCTCACTCAGTTCAAGGAAGAATTAGGGCCAACTGGTTGGAGGATACAGATGATACAGGTCCAAACAGCGCTTGAGATGGTCCTGGAGGTTGCCACCAATCGGGGGTCCACTCTGGGATCCTGCTCCCGTATTTGCCATATTTGCAAGGAAGTTTCCATGCTAATGAGGTGTTGCCGCATTTGGTTATCCCCTGCCTGTAGGCAGCTATGTGGACAGAGCCCAAAGCTGACTGGATCAGCAGTGGGGTCCCTCAGAGCCATGAGCCCAACCCTTTCAGTTCTAGTAGTGGGCAGTGGGCTCACTCCACTCACTGCCTAGGCCCTTCGACGCTCCCACCCAGAAATGATGACATTGCTAGTGAGGCTGACAGTCTTGCTGTAATTGGGAGAAAACGGACTGCTGCACATTTGGCAGATTGAGTCACCAGCAGCCAATGTCAGGGGTTGTGCAGGCAGCTGAAGGGCTCAGGGCCCCCTGCCTCACATGGTGAAGAGAGGAAGAAGAGGTCACAAGTTATAACCCAGATGGGAAAGTTGGTCCCTGGGACAGTTTTGCTTCCTCTCCTCACTCACAGGAGGTGGGCAAGGGCATCATTTCCCCTTGCTGCCAAAGTTTCATTTGGGAGAGGCTGGGGAGGGTTTATAAAAATTTCCTAGTGGAGACAACCTCCCCTACTGACCCCCAGCTGGCCTCCGCTCTCTTCCAGCCACTTCACAGCAGAGTCCAAATTCAGAGCTGTGTGTGTTTCATGGGCCTGAGGGTGCTGAGGGGAGGACAGGGTGGCCAGAAACAAGGAGTGGGAGATCATGGGCAGTGGCCATTCCTAGCAGTTCCAGGAAAGCAGGGCCTTTCTCCCAAGTACCCTGCACAGGCTCAGTGGCAGCACTGGCCACCTGCCTTCCTAGGAGGGTCCCAAACCCTCATGGACTGCCTCAGAGTGAACAGGGTTCAGGCAAGGAAGACCACAAAGATGATGAAGAAGACAATGAGGATGAGGAAGATTTTGACCATGAGCCACCGGTTGGAGGTGACTGACTGGAAGTACTTGAGGATCTCTGAATGGGCGGCCTCAACATCCAGCTGGGCTCCTAGCACGTTCTCGTCGATCCTGGGGACAGGGCCGGGAGAGGAGGAAACAAAAGGACACTGGATTAAAAAGAATGCTTTGAAGTCTATTTATTGACATGGAAAGATGGTCCCATATGGGAGTAAACAGTGTTTATATATACTATGATCCCATTATTGTGTATATATATTTATGTATAGAAAAGACTCTAGAAGGGTACTAAAAATATGTCTTGCTTCTCATTTAAAAACTAGCTCTGCTACTTACTAGCTTACTAAGTTAGTCATTCAACTTCAAATCTCATTTTCCTCACCTGCAAAATGATGATAATGTCCCTACCTCCTCTCAGGTTATGGTCTTCAGTGAGTTAATGTAAAGTCCCCAACCTATAAGAGTCCCCAAAATGTTGTTCTTATTTTTGTTCATCAGTATTTACTGATTTTTATCTAACAAACATGTACTGCATTTGTAATAAGGGGGAAAAAGTTCACAGACCATTACAGTCAGGAAATCTTGGTTCTGAGTGAAAATGAAAGAAAAACCTAATGATATGGACAAGAAGTCAGGGGACAAGAAAGCTCTACATTATTAGGAGAATGTGTCTCTCCATAGTATAGAGAAGTCTTCAAAGGAAGTACAATCTCCTGAAAGATTTCTGAGAAAAATAAAACATTCCCCAGCCAATGTGTATATGCAATCCTAAAAACCAAATACAAACTCTGTTCTTTGCAAAGGAAGTCCCTGGGAACAGAGACCTTGGCAAGCCAAGTATGGAAAAGCCAGTGGGGCCTGGCAGTCCAGTTGTAAAGTGAAAAAGAAGGTTGGCCCACTGGCTACAAGGCCATGGTCCTGGGAAGGTGGGGAACATGATCATGAGAACTGTGTCTTAATTACAGAAGCCTGCACTATAATTCCCTATTTAAGTCAGATAGGCTAACTAAAGTGCCAGGTTTCCTAGCTTTTGGCTATAATTACATCCCTCAGCGTGGGTATACTTGTTATCTCATACTGAATAATGCTCACTTTGGCAACTGTGAATGGCTTTGGTTAACAAGAATGGATAAACGTGGAGCTTCCAGGGTGGTGAACACAATGAAGTGCTGGGAGGACAGCATGGCCAGAGAGGCCACGGAAGCTCCGAGCTCCCCAAGGAGGCGCCACTGCCCATACCTCAGCCTATGTGTCTCTTCCATTTTGCCATTCCTGAGTTGTATGCTTTATAATAAACCAGTAAACATTAAAAAAATGAATAAACTGAATAAATGTAATTCGGCATATAAAAGATTTTAAACAAGAATCCATGAATGAAAACTAATAGAAGGGAACTCCAGTGGTGAAAAAAACAGCAATTAATGGGCTACTCAGAGGAAGTAGCAGGGAACTAGAAAATGGAAATGAATGAGGTAGAACATAAAGGCATGGGGTACAGAGAACTAAGGACAACAGAAAGGGAAAAGTATACTTGGGAAGAGGATGAAAGAACGTCTATGGAGAGAGAAAAAATTATAGAGGTAAGGAATCAAGCAATAAGCAGCTTGATCTGCACAGCAGAATCTGCATAGAAAGGATGGATGATGAAACTGATGTGACAAGATTAGAAGAGAGTATGAGAAGGTGGGGAAAAAGAAAAAAGGTTGAACCTAAGAAGACAGTGAGTCTAAGAACTATCCAGATTTCTTGACCATAATTAGACCTGAGATTTTAGTTTTCTAAGTTTCAGTTTGCCAAAACTTTCTGACACAGAGTAATGGGGTCATGTTAAGAAGACAGAAGCTGACTTGAAGTGGCTCCATATGGTCAGATTTAGGAAACCTGATTGTCATAAAGAATAATGATAGTCCAGGTGCCGTGACTCATGCCTGTAATCCCAACACTTTGGGAGGCTGAGGTAGGAGGACTGCTTGAGCACAAGAGGTAGAGACCACCCTGGGCAACACATTCAGACCCTATCTCTATTAAAAAAAGAAAAAGAATGGCCGGGCGGCTCACGCCTGTAATCCTAGCACTCTGGGAGGCCAAGGTGGGTGGATCGGTCGAGGTCAGGAGTTTGAAACCAGCCCGAGCAAGAACGAGACCCCGGTCTCTACTATAAATAGAAATAAATTAATTGGCCAACTAATATATATAGAAAAAATTAGCCGGGCATGGTGGCACATGCCTGTAGTCCTAGCTACTTGGGAGGCTGAGGCAGCAGGATTGCTTGAGCCCAGGAGTTTGAGGTTGCCATGAGCTAGGCTGACGCCATGGCACTCACTCTAGCCTGGGCGACAAAGTGAGACTCTGTCTCAAAAAAAAAAGAATGAAAAATCAGCCAGGAGCAGTAGTGTATGCCTATAGTTCCCGCTCTTCAGGAGGCTGAGTCGGGAGGATCGCTTGATCCCAGGAGTTCGAAAATAATAATAAAAGTAATGGATTATAAAACATTGAAATCATGATTCCACAGTGGTAACTTAAAAGAGAAACAGAAGCTGGGCACGGTGGCTCACACCTGTAATCCCAGCACTCTGGGAGGCCAAGGCAGGAGGATCACTTGAGGCCAGAGTTCAAGGTTGCAGTGAGCTACGATCACACCACCACACTCTAGCCTAGGAGATTGAGCAAGACTCCATCTCAAAAAAAAAACCAACCAGGATGGTTGCATCTGTACTGAACATGTATCGACTTTTTTTGTCATTATTCCATAAACAATATAGCATAACAACTATTTGCATAGCATTTACATTGTATTAGGTTATTACAAGTAATCCAGAGATGATTTAAAGCTGTGGTCCCCACCCCCCTGGGGCCAAAGACCAGTATTGGTCTGTGGTCTGTTAGGAACCAGGCTGCAGAGCAGGAGGTGAGTGGCTGGCGAGCAAGTGAAGCTTCATCTGTATTTACAGATGGTCCCCATTGCTCACATCACCACCTGAAATCCACCTCCTGTCAGATCAGCGGCAGCATTAGATTCTGCATTATGGTGAGTTGTATAATTATTTCATTATATATTATAATGTAATAATAGAAATAAAGTGCACAATAAATGTAATGTGCTTGAATCATCCCGAAACCATCCTCTCCCCACCCACTTCCATCTGTGCAAAAATTGTCCTCTATGTAACCGGCCCTGGTGCCAAAAGGGTTGGGGACCACTGATTTAAAGGATATGGAAGGCCAGGCACTATTTTCAGTAGAGATGGGGTTTTGAACTACTGACCTTGAGCAATCCTCCCGCCTCGGCCTCCCAGAGTGCTAGGATTACAGGCATGAGCCAGCACACCTGGCCTTTAATCAGTGGTTTCTAAACAAAGTGCTAAAACCCAGATCCATTCACATGCAGGGAGCAAACACTGAATGTCTATGCCTATTTAAAAAATTGCATCTTTTCAAAATTTATTTTGCATATGGGTTGCCCATAAATTCCCTCTGCTTCCTTATTTCCCTTTTATGCTTCAACCTTCTGTGAAATGGCTACTGAGCCAATCAACTGAAACTACTAGCAAGGATCCAATTAATTCTAGCTCCCTAATTCACACACATCCTTACCCCACACTTTGCTTCTCAGCAGCAATGAGAACTCCTCCTTTCTTCTTAAAATTCCTCCACCCCAACTTCTGAAGACACATCCGCCTCTCCACTTTCTCCTCTCATCTTCATCAACCTTATTCCTCAGTCCCTCTGGACAGATCCTTCCTTCCCTTTTCTGTATGTCCTTTGGCTCCATGGGGATCTGTCCTGTCCTTTTTTTCACTTTACCCATTGGCCCTGGGTGGTCCGGTTCATGCCTATGGTTTCCACCAAGAGGCCAGTGACTCCCAAGTCCTTATCTGTAGCTCACCCTCTCTTCTGAACATCAGACCAATCGTTAAATGCCTGTCAGACTCTGCCCCTGGGCTGTACCATGAGATCCAACACGCAGCATTTCTGGAACAAACATTCTCTTCACCCGGCATCGGATGCTTCCTCTTCTGTTCTCTGCCTGAGACCAAATTTCCTGCAGGGGCACAAGTCATTTATGTCCTGGTCCTGCCTCTCATGACTCCACCAGCCACACCGAATAATTCTGCACTCCTCAATCTACCCAGCTCTTTCTCATTTCTGTTTTTTTTTTTTTCCTCACAAGGAATGACCTTTCCTTTCCCCTTTCTTGGCTGGTATTCCCTCTCAAGTCTTACCTTGGTATCACTTCTGGGAAGGCCCCCTGTCCCCATCCAGGAGAGGTATGTGCTCTGAGTTCTCTCATCATCTTCTTTTCTTGCCTATCACACTGAATTGTCATTGTCAACTTATGTCTCTCCTACTAGATTGTGAGCTCCATGAGGACTAGAATGGTCTTTTACCTTCCCATCTCCAGACCCAGTAGACTAACACACAGCAGCAACAGTTTGCTAAACCAATGAACAAATGCATACCAACAGTGAAAACTACTTTATGACACCATTTCAACGAAGACTAGTGTGTAAAGTTGCATGTATGCTACAATTCTAACCACTTAAAACACATACAGGCCGGGCACGGTGGCTCACACCTGTAATTCTAACACTCTGGGTGGATCGTTTGAGGTCAGGAGTTGGAGACCAGCCCGAGCAAGAGCAAGACTCCCGTCTCTACTAAAAAAATAGAAAGAAATTAGCCGGACAACTAAAAATATATAGAAAAAATTAGCCAGGCATGGTGGCGCATGCCTGTAGTCCCAGCTACTTGGGAGGCTGAGACAGGGGGATTGCGCAAGCCCAGGAGTTTGAGGTTGCTGTGAGCTAAGCTGATGCCACAGCACTCTAGCCTGGGCAACAGAATGAAACTCTGCCTCAAAAAACCCCAAAAAACCACATATGCATTGGGGAAGGAACCCAAAGATCTTTTGTAATTTTGTTTCACTGAAATCTGTAACAATATTCTGATATTCAAAAAAAAACATGGCCCAAGGGACTATAGTGTTTATGGCCTAACTTGGCAAGGGGTTCCATAGATATCAGCTGCACCAGATAAGAATCAGTAAATTCTCCTGATTGTAGAATCAAGACAGCTGTACTCACAGTGCCTTATAAATGGCTAGTGCTCAA